TTATTTTGATTTACCTTTTTTTCATCAATATAAACCACACTTATTATTGACTCACCCTTGTATTATTTATTTTGATTTACCTTTTTTTTCATCAATATAAACCACACTTATTATTGACTCACCCTTGTATTATTTATTTTGATTTATCTTTTTTTCATCAATATAAACCATACTTATTATTGACTCACCCTTGTATTATTTATTTTGATTTATCTTTTTTTCATCAATATAAACCATACTTATTATTGACTCACCCTTGTATTATTTATTTTGATTTACCTTTTTTTCATCAATATAAACCACACCTTTTATCTAACAAACAATATTCATCAGGGGTACACCCTTACTAAAAGGTCTAACTTTAGTGGAGGGGGTTGCGCGTCAGAAGAAGGTTGGGAACCACTGGTTTATCTATTAACCTGTCTATCTGTTCCTACATTTATCCATAAATCAAGCTTTCTCGTCTGTCTATCCTCTATTAATCCCCTTTAGAGCAACAACTGGTTTTATTCATCGTTATTGATTTTGTCACCATCGTTGTTAATAAAGTGGTATATCCTGAAAATCGTTCAAGAACATTAGTTGCGTATGAGGATCGTTTTCCATCCACGGTGATGCATGGATAGAATTAACGTGAAGCTAAGGTAAAAATCTTTACGGAATCTACGTGATAACATCTGTCTTTCTACAGCGGAACCTTTACTTTCCAAGAAGCAATGGATGCACCAGAAAGTCACCATTTTCTAGCATTGAACGATGTTTCCCTGACGTTTGATGACACTGCGAACATCCAGTTCACGTCGGTAAATAGGCAGCTTTTGTTGCTTCTTTTCCAGGTTCTACATGTTCTATATAAGAATAGGTTCCAAGCTAAAATCAACAAGTTTTTAACAACTTAGAAAAATAGACAATGTAGAGCTGTAGATTATCTTTCTTATTTCTATGTTCATTTCTACAGATATTAGTTTTGCTTTCGTTTTTACCGACATAAATAGATGATGTATAATTGTTGGTTATTTGTCCTATTTCTGTTTGTTTCTATATATTTTTGATTTTGTTTTCATATCAGGGTACTACAGGGTTGCCCAAGGCTGCAATGCTGTCTCACCACAACCTAGTTAACAACGCTTTATTCGTAGGGTTGAGATTAGGCTACATGAGAGAGGTAAGCCTAACGCAGACAGTAACCTTCAGTGTACTTAAAAACACTTTATATACGTTATATAGGATGGAAGTTAATTTACATGAGAGAAGTAAACCTAACGGAAATTGTTTGTTTTGAATTTCGCGCAAAGCTACACGAGGGTTATCTGCGCTAGCCGTCCCTAATTTAGCAATGTAAGACTAGAGGGAAGGCAGCTAGTCATCACCACCCACCGCCAACTCTTGGGCTACGCTTTTACCAACGAATAGTGGGATTGATCGTCACATTATAACGCCCAATCCGCGAGTCGAGTGCCCTAACCACCTGGCCATGCCGGGCCACCTAAAGGAAATAGTAACCTGAATTTTACTTAAAAACACTTTATTTACAGGATTGAAGTTTGGTTACATGAGAGAAGTAAGCCTAACGTAAATAGTAACCTGAATTGTATTTAATGTTTTAATTACTGAGTTTCGATAAGGCTACATGAGATTGAGAGGGGTACGCTTAACGTAAACACAACAGTAAACTTAATTGTAACCTAACGTAAACAGTAACTTAGATTGTACTTAACAAGTTTTAGTTATAGGGTTGAGATGAGGCCACATGAGAAAAGTAAGCCTAACGTAAATAGTAATCTAAACTGTACTTCTCAACGTTTTATTTATAGGGTTGACATTAAGATACCTCAACAGTAAGCCGAATCTTTCTGTTTGTTATGTAAAGTTTAGCTTGTGCTATCTCTTAGGATGTTATTGATATCAGCTCACTCTTTTATTTTAAACCTTTTACAATAAAACAGCTATAGAGGTGTTAATTCAAAGTAGTACAAGCTTAGTTTATTTATTTGTACTATTGTAGGATTTCTTAGTC